CCCCGCCGGCCCGGCGCTCCACCCGCCCCGCGCGCCGGCCCTGCGGTTGCTCGAGGTGTCCCGGGGTAACAAGGTGCTGGTGGCGGAGCCCGGGCCCCGGAGGCCTGTGCTACGCTGTAGGCACTGGGGGTGTGCCGTGACCCTTTGCTCAGGGGCCGCTCCTGCCTGGCCCCTTCTGTGGGGCGTCCCCGGGACCCCAGAGTGGAGGCAGAGAGCGGGTCCCATGAAGCTTGCCTGCTTGGGTAAGAAGAGGCTGCTGGTCAGGATTGAGCGGTGGTCACGCCGGCCTGGCCCGCCCCTCGCCGCTCTGCGCCTCATTGTAAATCTGGGCGAAGAGCCTGTGGTTGAGCGCGGGGGCTTCCCAGGGCAGGTGTGGGGGAGGGGAGGCTCCGGTGCTGCGGTGCTGGTGGGAACTGGGGGTGCGGGTTCTTGCATCCGGACTCGCACCGATTGTCTCCCGAGGGGCCTGGCTGAGTCCCTGCTGGCCCATCTGCCCCAAGATGGCCTGAAGTTTAAAGCCACACTGTCCCCATTGCCACGAATGCCCTGTCACTTTAGCCAGTTTTGCTGTCCTTTATGACTCGGTCCAGATGCAAGTTGAGTTCCTGATGCCAGCATGCTTTGGCCTAGGGTCAGCATAGCCCTGACCCTGCTCTGGAAATGGGCAGCAAGTGTCTGCAACCCCCCTTGCGGGGCTGTGTACTGCTCTTGCCTTCCCTGGCACAGGTGCGTGGCCTGGACACTCCTGTACTGGGGCTGCTCGTCAAATGTCTCCCAGCTGCAATAGTCCGCAGTGCACACATTTCACAGAACTCCAGTGTGCAAAGGGAGGTGGAGGTCTTACATGTGCCCCTAATTCAGTCGGCAAGTACCTGAGCGTTCCTGTGTGCCAGGCCATGTGACCCGGCCTGGAGCTGACCTCTGGGGGCCAGTGAGTGTGTGGTGAGGGCTGAGGAGGAGAGTTCAGAGGTGAGAGGGCCCAGAGGGCAAGCGGCTTCCTGATGCTGGATGGCGAGGCCCTGACTGGCAGGACCGCAGAACCATCTGGTCGCCAGGCTGGCAAGCCAGTTGAAGCGAGGCAGAAGCCAGGAAGCCCCTCTGGACAGGAGAGTGGCCACTTGTTCAGCCCAGGAGATAGTTCTGAGGGGGATACAGGTGGGTACAGGCAGACTCAACAGACAGGCTGGCACCTGGTTGGGGCCACATAAACAGGCTGATCCCACAGTATATGGCAAGGCAACTCTGTGGAGAAATGTGGGTGTGGGCAGCTGGCAGTGGTGTGGGTCATGCCTTCCCTCCCCCTTGGGTCACTCTACTCCCCACTCATCTCTAGCCCCCTTGGGTCTGCTCTCCACTCCCCTGGCTTCTACCCTTCAGCATCCCTGAAATCCATGAGAGGAACCCAGGTGAGCTGGACTATTGGTGGAGGTAGAATTTAAACCCAGAACCCTCTGCCCCCTCACAACCTCTGGTATCCTGGGTCTTGACCCACAAACTTTGCTCTCCCCTAGAGTTTTCTGTTAGGCAGATGCCTCTTCCAGGCCTTGAGGAAATGTCCTTGGCCGCCTTCCCTAGTCCCTTCCCTTTCATGGGGAACCAAGAGCCCTGTGAGCCAGCATGACCTGGTGCAGTGAGGCCACCATCTTGCTGGCCTTAGGGTGCTGGGCTTGGTGTGTCTATCTCTGACCCTCTGCCTTCACACACTTGCCTGATGTAGAATGACCCTCTCCTTTGGAGCACTCACTGCATGTGGGGCACTACACCAAGTGAGACTTTATTTTCTGAGACAAGGTCTCACTCTGTATAGCCCAGGCTAGAGCGCAGTGGTGCGATTATAGCTCATTGCAGCCTCAAACTCCTGGGACAAGTGATCCTCCTGCCTAAGCCTCCTGAGTTGCCAGGACTATTGACACCACCGTGCCTGGCAATTTTTTTTTGGGGGGGGTCTCAATCTGTCACTCAGGCTGGAGTGCAGTGGCACAGTCACCCCTCACTGCAGCTTCTACCCCCTGGACTCAGGCAATCCTTTGGCTTCAGTCTCTCAAGTACTTGGGACTACAGGTGTGCACCACCTTGCCTGACTAAATTTTGTATTTTTTTTGTAGAGATGAGGTCTCACTATGTTTCCCAGGCTGGTCTCAAACACCTGTGCTCAAGCAGTCCTGCCTCAGCCTCCCAAAGTGCCCAACCTAAATTTTTTATTCTTTTTTTTTTGTGGAGACAGGGGCTTGCTGTGTTGCCCAGGCTAGTCTTGAACTCCTGGCCTTCAGTGATCCTTCCAACTTAGACTCTCAAAACGCTAAGATTACAGGTGAGAGCCTCTGCTCTCAGCCCTGAGATCCTCATGGTAAAATGAAGAAATGGAGACTCAGAGAAGTGGTGAAACAATATGTGATTTACTAAATAGATGAAGTCATTCCAGGCTCACAGTCAAGCCCCAAGAGACAGAATTCTGGGGTTTGCCTGCAGGGAGCTTGGCCAGAAGATGCCAGTGCTGCCTGTCATTCCATGCATGTCAGGGTATGAGTGACTGCCACACCGGGACAAAAAGACTGCCTCCCCTTCTTTGTCTGTTTGACCCTGCTGGAGCCTCCCTCCCCCTCTATCTGAACCTCATCTCTCTCCTCTTGCTTCCCCAGGGTGCTGTGTCTGACTTCTGGGCTCTGCATACAGCTTGGGCCTGGGTCAAGGCCAAGGGCAGCAACAGCCCAGAAAGGGTGAAGGGTTGGGTGCCGGGGGAGAAGGGCTGGTTTAGGGGACAGAGGGCACAAGTCCCTGCATGGCTCGGTCCCCATCCCATGACTGTCCAGGAGGGACAGTAGCCACCACGGAGCAGGTGTGGACCCCAGCTCTGACCTCTGCTCCACCTTCCAGATCCGTTCTCTGCTCCAGGCAGACCCAGAGGGAACCAGGCAACCCCCGGGCAGGAGAAGGTTGCTTGTCTGAGTTTCTGTAGCTTCCACCTCTGTGCAGTTTCCTGGGAGAGCTAGGAGGGAGGAAAAGGGAGAGGGCCGAGACATCCCAGGTTCTGCAAAGAGCCCCTGTCTAGGAGAGGAGTAAGTTCTGCCCAGAAGCCGGGGGCTTTGCAGAGTCCAGGGACTTTGCAGGTTGTGGGTTTGTCTGTCAGAATGGGAAGGGGAGTTTCCTTTCTGTGTTGTGTGTGGGGGAGGGTAGGGGGCATTGAGGGGGTGCACAGGAGGCTATTCAGGGTGGAAAGGAGGAGAGTGGGTTTTCTGTCTGAGGTAGAAGGGGCCTCCCAGAGAGGGGTTCTCTTTCTCCAGTCTCTTGGTCCTCTGGGCACAGCTGGTGACTCTCCAAAGTCCACCTCTGGCTCATGCAGTCATTCCCCTGCCTAGGACGCCACATTCCCTGCTCTGGCCCTCTCCTGGGATGACCTGCACAGCTGTGGCCCTGAGGCAGTCCATACTTTTGGGGGTGTGGCTGTGGCTGACACAGGTTCTTCTTCCAGTATTCCCGAGGGTTGCAGGCCTCCCATGGACCCACAACTAGCCCATGGAGGCAGGCCGGATGGAGGGATAAGGGTGTCCTCTCTCTTTGCTGTGATACCTGCCCACCTGCATCTCCCTGCCTTGTTGGGAGAGTCCTGCTCCCTGCACCCTCATGTCTGTGAGGTCGGATGTGGGGGGACGCCCATGCTTCCCCCTTTCCTCTGGGGTCCTGGGGAGGGGAAGCAGAAAGACAAGAGAGCCCGTGGAGAAGTAGAACTTTATGCGGGGAGGGTGCAGTCACACTCCAGGGCGCATCAACGCAGAAAGATGCTGCCATCGATGTTCTCCTCCAGGATGGTCTCCACGCGCCTCCGCTGCGGGGGAGACAGGCTGGGACCAGGAATGCAGGGAGACAGGCAGGGCCCTTCTCCGCCCCTTCCCGGGCTTGCTGGCACCTCCTGGCGGTCCAGGGGGTCCGGGATCCTCGTGGGCTTCAGCTGCGGCGGCAGGAACAGCTCGAGCCGGATGGCGGCGCGCGCGGACTTCTGCCGCTGGATAAGCAGCGCGATCTCCTCCTCCTGCAGCCGGGGGTCGCTGAGCCGCGCGGCCTCGCTTTGCCCGCATAGAGCGCGCCCCGGGCCCTCCACCATCCCCTCTTGCGAGGACCCCAGGCCCTCCACTGGCCCCTCCCGCGGGGGATCCCGGCCTCCTC